CAGAGAACTTAAGCTGAAAATTTACCTTTTTTCCATTAAGATAGAATTTATCGAAGTAGAGGCATTAGGCCAACATAAAAAAAGAAAAAAGGTTTTTTTTTTTTTTTTGTCGAGCCTGGTGGCATACTTGTCACCACCCCGTTATAAAGGGGACGCTCATAGCATCCATCCATCCATCCACGTCACACACGCACTCGCTCAGTCGTTGCCGCCACCGAGCACAGCAAACGCCCACTCCTCTCTCTCCTCTCCCCCTCTACCGCCTTCATAAAAAAACAGTAGCGAGATTGGGCGCATTGCCTCTGGGTCCCATTTCTACGGAGCTTCGCTCATCGGTTTTGTTCGTACATGGAACTGCTAGTTTGCTGTTGTTAGTCGGCGCTTGTTTGTCTTGCATTTTTCTTCTCCTCTCGTCGCGCTGCGCAGTTTGACCAAAATAGACTCTTACCAACTTGCTCTACTTCCCACGCCACTTGGGTACTACTGCGTCAATGCGAATGAGTTCGGCGCGAATCCGCAAGATGGCGGAGGTGCTGTGAAATGATAATTCACAACTACTCGTCAGCAGTCCGAAGCCACACTGTGGCTTCGGGCTACAAACGAGTAGTTGTGAAACGAGCAGATGAACTTTCAGTGAAAATTCATCTGCATTTCCCGGAAAGGAACTATTATTTGATGAAGAATGGTTCGTCTCTGTTCCGGGTTTGATCTCTGATCCAGGACCGATTTTGCTTCAACTACGAAGCTTTTCGTGGCTTCTTGTTGCAAACCAACGGCTGCCAATTATATCTTCTATAATTACAGCGTTAAGAAACTACTGCCTCATTGCAATTACACTTTCACGGCTACCATTTACTGCTGCTGGGTGATGTCACCCCGTTTCGTGTACCTCCTCGTACTACTACTACTACTAACACTACTACTATCATGACTGCTATCTTGATAATAATTAGAATAATTAGTGGTGGTGGTTATTGCAGTAGTAATGCTAGGATTAGTGGCATTAGTAGTTATAGTTGTAGTATTATTAACAGAGGTAGTTGTCGTAATAGAGTAGCAGCATTAGTAGTGTACACTACTAATGCTGCTACTCTATTACTACAACTACCTCTGTTAATAATACTATACTATTTTTCCAGGATCATACATGTCGTTTCAGCTGTACTTATTGGTGAGCGTGTTCCCAACTGCGGTTTGCCCGAGCCTTGTGCCAATGATTCCTTTGCTGTCCACATCTTTACTGGGAAAGATAACCATGACCAGCCAAGGCTGTGCGTCGATGGAAAGTAGTGTACACTACTAATGCTGCTACTCTATTACTACAACTAACTCTGCTAATGATACTACTACTATAACTACTAATGCCACTAATCCTAGCATTACTACTGCAGTAACCACCACCACTAATTATACTAAATATTGTTGCGTACATGCACGAAGAAAAAGAAGCGTATACGGTGAACGCACTTGTGGCCCAGAGCGAGAGAGGAAGAAGAGGATTAGGAGGATCTTTAACGAGTCGGCCGCTTCTGAGCTGCCCCTCGCGACCTAATAAACGGCCCCTTTCAACGTCTACCAGTCTCTTTCAAACGTAACAGAGTGGTGGAGGTGCTGGGTAAGCGCTTCAACTACGGAACGATCACTGCCACAGCTTCGACGAAGCCGTCGACTTGCCGGTCTCCCACCATCTGCCGTGAGTGACTTCGACATGCCCGAAGAAGCAGGCGCTTCCAGGACGGCACCATCTGGCCCGCTTCCATACTACCGAGTTCCACCGCCCTTCGGAGGAAAAGCCGAAGAAGATGTCGACGCCTGGCTCACCAAGTACAAACGTGTGGGCAAGTCCAACGGTTGGGATGCAGCCGCTATGCTAGCCAACGTAGTGTTCTCCCTGACCGACACCGCACTGGTATGGTACGAGAACCACGAGGACGCACTCACGACGTGGGATCTTTTTGTTGAAGAGCTCAGGGCGTGTTTCGGCGACTCGGTTGCTAGAAAGAAGCGGGCTGAGCAAACACTGTCGCAACGGGCACAGCTACCAGGTGAGACATGCACCACTTACATAGAAGAAGTGTTAAGGCTGTGCAAGGTGGTCTGTGCTACCATGTCGGAAGAGGACAAAGTTGGGCATCTGCTCAAGGGGATTGCTGAGGACGTGTATAATTTCCTAATTGGAAAAGAAAGCCTCAGTTCTGTGTCCGACGTCATTCAGCATTGCCGAACGTTTGAAACGCTCAAGATGCGTCGAATTGCGCCCAAGTTTGGTCGGCTGGCTAACGTTACAACTGTTGCCAGTGTGGACACGAATCCTGGCCTCGACCTTTTCTCTACCATTTGACAGATTGTTCGTGAGGAACTGTCCCACCGAGAAATGTCATGTTCGACAGCTGACCATCGCGAGTTGTGTCTGCCACGTGAGGCTATGGATGTGCCTCCTTTGACCCCATGGCAACCGACAATGAGCGCGGCAACTGTGGAGTACAGCCCAGCCCCACAGTCAAGAATGGCAACCAGATTTCCCGCGTCGCGGTATGACCGACGCTCTCAGCGCATGCCTCCTCGACACCCGACGTCTCGGTACAACGCACCCACCCAGTACATCCGTCACACAAGAGCAAATGATGACGCTCTAATCATCGACGAGCGACCGACGTTTCGACCTCGGCCGGTGTGCTATTCCTGCGGTGTGCCATCCGAAACGCTGGCCTAATTTTAAACTCGAAGAAATGCCACTTCGGAGACCGCCAGACGCTTGTGCTCGGGCATCTCGTTGACAAGGATGGCATCCGCCCTGACCCCCAGAAGACAGCAGCAGTTGAGGCGTTCAATGCGCCGCGTTCCGTCAAGGAGCTTCGTAGTTTCCTGGGGCTTTGTTCGTACTTCCGCCGCTTTATTCCGAAGTTTGCCGACGTGGCGTATCCTCTCACATGCCTCTTACGAAAGGACAATTCCTTTGAGTGGACTCCGGAGTGCGATTCTTCATTCCGTCAATTGAAGTTTTTGCTGACGTCACGACCCGTCCTTCAGCACTTCAGTCCTTCTGCTCCAACAGAGCTTCATACGGATGCTAGCGGCATAGGTATTGGAGCCGTCCTAGTACAACGTTACGGCGACCGCGAACACGTCATCGCATACGCAAGTCGCTCCCTAAGCAGGCCGGAACAAAACTACACTGTTACGGAACAAGAATGCCTGGCGGTATTATTTGCAATTCAGCGGTTTAGGTCTTACCTGTACGGACGCCCATTCACAGTCGTAACCGACCACCACTCGTTGTGTTGGCTTGTCAACCTTCGTGACCCTTGTGGCCGCCTTGCGCGCTGGGCACTCCGGCTACAAGAATACAGTTTTACCGTCACTTACAAGAGTGGTCGTCGACATGCTGACGCGGACTGTCTTTCACGTATGCCACTTAGCACAACAGACTGTGAATCCGATGACCTTGACCAGCTTGTAGCGTCTGTGTCGCCTACGTTCCCGGACTATCCCAGTTTCAGAGCGGAACAGCGGAAGGATGCTAAACTGGCACCACTATTCGCGGCTGCATCCGCTTCCACTAGTGCCCGCCGTTTCTGTATGCGTGATGGACTGTTGTTCAAAAGGAACCTCTCCAGCAGTGGCGCGCGTTTCCTTCTAGTGGTCCCGGAGAGCCTGCGAACAGTTATTATGAGTGTCATGCACGACAACCCTACATCTGGACATTTAGGTTTGGCGCGGACGCTTCACCGGACTAAAGAGCGCTTTTATTGGCCTGGTATGCAGAAGTCTGTTGAGAGTTATGTGGCAAGCTGCATGCAATGTCAGCGTCACAAACGTCCATCAACTGGTCCAGCTGGTCTTCTACAGCCGATGCCTACTCCAGGCGCACCTTTTGAACAAGTGGGCATTGACTTTCTGGGCCCCTTCCCAAAATCGGCTAAGGGCAACCGATGGATAATTGTTTGCGTCGACTACCACACACGCTACTGCGAGACGGCGGCCGTCCCCCCCGCAACTGCCAGTGAAGTCTCGTCGTTTTTGTTACAGTACGTCATCCTCCGACATGGCCCACCTCGCCTGATTATCAGTGACCGTGGACGACAATTCACAGCGGATGTCGTGGAGGAGCTACTCCGTTTATGTGAATCCCGCCTGCGTCACTCGACACCATACCACCCCCAAACTAATGGACTGACGGAGCGTACCAACCGCACCATTATTAACATGTTGTCTATGTATGTCTCTTGCGACCACAAGAACTGGGATGACGTACTCCCTTTCATTACTTACGCGTTCAACACCGCGAAGCATGAGATTACAGGCTATAGCCCTTTCTTTTTGCTTTATGCACGTTCGCCCCGGTACACAATAGACACAATATTGCCTTTCTATGACCACGACAACGTCACTGTCGCTGAGACTCTCTGCCTCGCCGAAGAGGCGCGTCGCATAGCGCTACTGCGCACATTGGCATCGCAAGACAAAGCGAAGGCACGCTATGACATTCACCATCGACCAGTGATTTATCGCCGTGGTGATCTGGTGTGGTTGTGGACTCCGATGCGCAAGCGCGGGTTATGCCAAAAGTTTTTGGCCACTTACGATGGACCTTTTGTCATTGTCGACAGACTTACAGAGGTCAACTATGTAATAGCTCGTCTCACGCCGAGTGGTCGACGAGCTGCCAAAACTCAAGTGGTTCATGTTGCCCGCCTGAAACTGTACACGCCACGACAACTCGACTGACTCGTCCGGCGGCCTTCGTCTGCGCGGAGAGGAATGTTGCGTACATGCACGAAGAAAAAGAAGCGTATACGGTGAACGCACTTGTGGCCCAGAGCGAGAGAGGAAGAAGAGGATCAGGAGGATCTTTAACGAGTCGGCCGCTTCTGAGCTGCCCCTCGCGACCTAATAAACGGCCCCTTTCAACGTCTACCAGTCTCTTTCAAACGTAACAATATTATCAAGAATACACCGTCTTGTTAGACTGTCCCATCGTTAGGAGTGGTAGTACATACCGTAGCGCGAGGGGGTTAGTGTTAACCACGGTGGGTGGCAAGAGGAACAGGTACGTCTCGCCGAGCTTGGCGGCGACGCGCTCCATGTCTGCACCCAAGTTGTCCTGGCGCAGCGCGACACCCAAGCTGAGAGCGCGACTCGGCGAGGCGAGCTGCTTCGCCAGCTCCCGCAGCAGCGGCGCCATCCGGTGCCACGTGGCCGATGACGTGGTTTCTGGCCAGCGGAGGACAACGCCTGTGTAGTTCCACGCCTGCAGAAACGCAATGGCTAGATGATCAGGCACCCCAGTTGGTCGCTTCACATCGATTAAGCCAACGCCTCCTAAAAAAAAAAGTTATGTCTGGAGCGTGAGCCGCGAACGTGCTGCCCAATTCTCTGATTTTACTTTCCTCCTTCGGTACGAAGGCGAGCGACTCTGACGGCCGTCCCCTGCGAACACAGCAATGCTCTCACAGTTGCCTCCGAGCAGCCTTCATGTCACGTGCCAGAGCGGTACGGAGGCGAGCGGTCTCACGCGGCTGCCGGTCACAACACAAGGCAGGGTGCATGGCCTCCGAGATTGCGTGCTTGCAGGAAGCTCCCAATTGAAAAGAGAGCGACGTTCCAGGCATAGTTTTTCTAAGAGGCGTTGATTAAGCTTGCAAAGCGTTTTTTTGGCATGATATTGCGAAGAAATGGGTAAGAGGGAAGGCAATGAAAAGACACCCCATTGTGTATGCATCTTCCTTGCTTTTCCTCGGCCGTGTCATACGCTGGCATATAGTCATCAGAAGCACGCTTCATAACCACTTGCCGGGTGCAGTGGTAGGAACATCGCTAACGCGTAAACACGCACGAACCTTTGAGTTCGCGTGAACTTACCATGCGGTACTATTTACCTTTTTGACGTATGCATGTGGGAGGTTAACTGGCGGAACATGGGAGAGGCCTTTGTCCTGCAGTGGACGTAGTCAGATTGGTGATGATGATGCTGATGATGACTATTTAACTTGTCTAAATACACCAAAATTCAAACTGTTTGCAAAAACTATAGACGTAAGTATAAAATGCAAGGGAAATGGCGTAAGCTTTACGGTATCATACATGTTTTCACATATGTGACATTCTAATTATTCTGCTTCAATGCCAATCGAGATTACCCCCTTCAAATAGGAGCGGTACGCTTGCATATATCAAACAATCACTATCAAAATATTTCCCTTGCGGTGAAACCACCTATTCCTTATGCTCGCACTCAGTCGAGAGTGCACAATGCTGTTTCGTGAGGAATAAAGTGACAATGAACGCCAACCTTGTAGCGCTTGCCCACGTCTGGAGCCAAAAAACCTGCGGTCAGATCTTTCTCCAGGGCGGCGAACTGATCTTTGCCGGCGTCCGAACCGTCTCCCAGCATCATGAAGACGTGCACGACCGGGTTGTTTTGCAGCGCTCGGCTGGCGAACTTTGTCGCGAGGTCGTTGGCATCCTGCGGCTCCAGGTTGTCGCCCAGGGGCGGGCAGCAGAAGATCGCCAGGCGGCAGAAGGCGAAAGGGAAGCGCGAAAGGCCGAAGTGGACGCCATCGTTGGATATCGCGAGCCCGTCGGCAGACCCGTGGAAAACGCACGCGGTCAGATGGTAGGGATCTTTGTATCTGTAGTCGCTGATGTTGAACACCTGTAACGCACAGAACCACGATCGTGGCAGTTTATTATAGCAGCACCTCTTCCACAGAATGCGTTGGTTACTTATTCTTTAGGGTTCATGGCTAGATCCTCAGAAGCTTCGCCTCTATAAAAAGGAATACCCTCATGGGCTTAAAACATAGGCTGCGGAATATTGGTTTGCATAGGCCTAAAGGGTGGAATATTCCCTAAGGCGAGCGCGCTCACACACACACGCGCGCGCAAACCAGAACACGGGAGCGTGAACCCACTGAATCTAACCCACTGAATCAACCCAGGTGGCGCCACACCTGGGTTGACCCAGGTGTGGCGCCACCTGGGACAGCGCCACGAAAGAAGGAAGGAGAACAAGGGGTGAAAGTAAGTTAAAAAATGGGATAAATCAAAGCAGAGTGGCGAAACGGCTAACAAGTATGGTGCGCGTAGCAATGGGTTCAAAGCTATGTCAAAGATTGTACCATGTTAAACTCGTACTGACTAGCCGAAATGGGTGCTTTATTTAAATTTATGGGCAGTGAAACTTTGAATTATACGCTGGTGCGTGTGCACTGAACGAAGGAAGTTTCTGTTGCCTCTACGGCATTGCATTTTATGTATGAAACGGAATAATGTTTTTAAAAGAAAAACTGCCCTAAATGGCCGACAGAGGGGTGTACCGAGCATGTCGAAACGTACCTTGTACCAGTCGTATGGCGTCGGTGGGCTCGCCGTTTTGTATTTGTAAATCCATTTACTCATTGTGACAATGGTATCCGGAGTATCTGATTCCACCGGTGACGCCGTCGGCCATTCGAACATGGCGTCGCCCAGAAACAGCAAGATCATCGCTACTGCGATGCCGGCGTTCATCACGCAGATGGCGACGAGGACGCAAGTGCGAGTGAAGTGGTCTTCGTTCGAGCGCGCCCGGAGAAAGCGCTCCTTGTCGCGAGTTCGGAACAGCTGCTCTTGTATTGGAACGGACGTGATTTCATGGTAAGACCCGTAGGGCTCCCGACCGTAGGCGCCGGGGTACTGACTTACAGTGGCAACGTTCGTTGCCTGCTGAAAAAAGAAAGTGGAAGAAAATTAGCCCGGACCATTTGGGGATGCGAAGCAGAGCTGGTGTTCACTTGTGTTTCCAATTGTTCCCATTTGTATGTCTCCGTGTATGTTTCATTTGTGTGTGGAGTTGTGCATATGTTCATCGTCATCATCATCAGCCTGACTACGTCCACTGCAGAACAAAGGCCTCTCCCATGTTCCGCCAGTCAACTCGGTCCTGTGCTTGCTGCTGCCAATTTATACCCGCAAACTTAATCTCATCTACCCACCTAACCTTCAGTCTCCCCCTAATCCGTTTGCCTTCTCTGGGAATCCAGTTAATTATTTCAATGACCAGCGGTTATCCTGCCTACGCGCTACATGCCTGGCCCATGTCCATTTCCTCTTCTTGATTTCAACTACGATATCCTTAACCCCCGTTTGTTCTCTAATCCAATATGCTCTCTTCTTGTCTCTTAAGGTTACACCTACCATTTTTCTTTCCATTGCTCGCTGCGTCGTCCTCAATTTAAGCTGAACCCTCTCTGTAAGTCTCCAGATTTCTGCTCCATAACTAAGTACCGGCAAGATGCAGCTGTTGTATACCTTCCTCTTGAGGGATAGTGGCAATCTACCTGTCATGATTTGAGAGTGCTTGCCGAATGAGCTCCACCATATTTTTGTTCTTTTAATTACTTCAATCTCGTGGTTCAGCTCCGCGGTTATTACCTGCCCTAAGTAGACATGGTCTTTTACAACTTGAAGTGCACTAATACCTATCTCGAAGCGCTGCTCTCTTCAGAGATTGTTGTAGATTACTTTCGTTTTCTGCAAATCAATTTTAAGACGCACCTTTCTGCTCTCCTTGTCCAACTCAGAAATCATGAGTTGCAATTCGTGCCCCGAGTTACTCAGCAATGCAATGTCATCGGCAAAGCGCAGGTTACTAAGGTACTCTCCATTAATTCGTATCCCTAACTGTTCCCATTCTAGGCCTCTGAAAACCTCCTGCAAGCAGGCGGTAAATAGCATTGGGGATATTGTATCCCCCTGCCTTACACCCTTACACCGTTCGTGCATATGTCGTGTACTGCTTATGTTACCCCACTCCCATTTGTGAGTATTGCCGTGTGTGTGCCGCAAAATGAACACCCAGCGCTGCCATTAGTGTGCAATTGAGCGAGCACGTGCAGCATTACATAAGAGCTGTGTTAGCGTCTTGAATCGGGCTGGTTGGTACATACTGACTATGAACGAAGAAACAGTGTCATAACAGGCTGGAGACGATGAAGACACAAACACGGCGCTGCATAAGATAGCACAGTTGTGGCAGTGAGATAAACGGGAGAGGAGAACAAGTGGAGGCAGCCCTCGCCACCTCCTCCCTCTTCCTTACACACACGCGAGGAAAGAAGGAAGGAGAGTTGGCTAATGCGTAGTAAGGGTGGTCACGCCGCACGCCGACTGAGCTCCGCCACAAGCTGCTTCGCATCTAAAACACACGCAAGCTCCGCTGCACCCAGAGATTCCTGTTCTTGCAGTTCCCACTGCTCCGTTTACCACAGCGCTGATGGCGCCGTAGTTTTAGGGTAAGCTTGTACGACTTTACCAGCCCGAGTAGAATCCTTTTGGAGAGATTCGCAAGGTCATAGGCGACATGTGCGCTACTTTTTCCCTGCACTTTATCGAGTTGCTGCTTTTCACTGCAGTTGAGATACGCGAGGTATATACAGAGGTCGGTCCCGTCGCTTCCCTCCCTAGATGTAGTGAACGCAGCGCCGGAGAAGAGTAGCGGGAGGAACATTCGCTCACTCGGTCATGCGGTGGCGCCCTCTCTGGTGCGATCCCGGAGTCAGCCACAGGTTTCGAAAAAGTGTTTAGCAATTTTTAGTTAGTTATCATGATTTCTTCTTGGTTATTTTCGTTAAATATAATACTTTAGGCTTTGCTAGTTAATTTAAGCCAGTTTCGAGCATTGATAGCTTTGGTACGGCCTTTATTGAGCGCTTTACTCGGAGCGTGATCACGACACGTGAGATGCATCCACAGTTATAGGCAGTTATACGCCGTGAAAAGCATCGGACGTTAAAGAGCGTCAAGCACGAGGATGCGTGGCAGGACGTGAAGTAAACAAAAGGTAAAACATCCAATGGGCAGCGAACACGGAGATTTCAAGGCCCAATGGCTTGACACCACGAAACAGCAGTATCTCCAATGAGAACGAGGACAAGTGGGCCAGAGCTGAAGCAGGAGCCTGAGCAGACCAGAGCAAGGGGAATTCGAGGGCAGGAGTGCAAGCGGAAGGTCGTCACCGGACCGGGCGCTGAAGATGGGCCGTTGGGTTCCGGACCCGAGCCTACAAGGACTTCCACCGGCCGGGACCTCCTGCTGTCGGGTTCCCGCTCCAAAGGACCGTGGCCATCCGGTCCTGAACTCCTTTCCAGGGCCTGCGGACTTTGGTTCCGGCAGGCGAGCTACAGCCGTCGGGCTCCAGGCCCGAGCTGTGCGCCCAGCTGCTTGACTAGGTCGACCCCAGTTCCCGGACGCGTCGCCACCAGCCTG